TTCATATTTAGATAAACTATCGATTAATTCTACTAATTTATACAAAAAATTCTCAGAACATGTATTCTTTAATTCTTTTAATTTAACTATAAATTCTTGTACATCTTTTGATTCTCTTATACAATCATATACTAAATATGTTTTAGCTGTAGGTAGATAAGCTTTACGAATATTCTTTTTACAATCATTAGCTGTTTTATCTCACAATTACTAGTACAAAAAATAGAGATACAACAAAATGATGATTTATAATATTTTAATTGTTCAAGATTTTTTGTAAAAAAATCTTGAATACATTCATCTTTTGTTTGATAATCTGGTTCCTCATTTTTAGACATTTTTTTTTAAATTTATTATTAATTTTTTTTTCACTTTATTTATAATTATTTTGTTCAGATAAACCTATAAATATAATTATAGTACAATCGGATAAACTTAAAAAATGAGTTTATTTTGTAAAACATTAAAATGTAAATTACAAATATATAAATTTTTATTTCAATTAAAAATTTATTTATATATAAATAAAATAAAATAAACAATTTAAAAATATTATAAAATTTATATTAAAAATTTATACTATAAATTTATACAAGTTCCTTACCAAAAAACTTGTGTCTAATATTTTTTAGAATAAGCTATACCCATATGTTTAAAATTTTTATTTAATATATTTTTACGATGACCTTTAGAATTCATCCAACTAATAATAATAAAAAAAAATTATAATTGTTTCTTAAATTATTAAAAATAAATTTACATCTAATGAACCAGATTCATCATCATGTGTTAATTTATTTTTTTTTTATCATATATTCATTGTGAAGTTTTGCAGCTTTATTCAAACGACTATAATAAATAAATATTATTATTTTATTATTAATATAAAAATATAATATAATATTATAACTTACTCATCTAATATAAGTGGTTTAAGTTCTTTTTTTCTTTGTTCTTTATTTACAAGATTAAGTAATAAAGATTTATCTAAAGTCATTTTTTTTTTGTAATTATTTAAATAAAAATACAAATTTTTTTTTTGATTTTATAAATTTTATTTATATAAAATTTAATTGTAAATTTATTTATATTATAATATAAAAATTATACATTAATTTTTAATATAATAAAAAGTT